GCCTTAACATACCTGCACTACGAGACACCGCTTGTGTGTCTCGACAGACGATATAATGCGAAGAAAAATGCATAAGCAAACTTCACCTACAAAACTGAGGATGGCCTCTACTGTGGGCCTCTGTGTTAACAATGTGGTGAGTCCACAAAAATGATTTTCATTTTATCCCTCTGTTTTCTGTTTATCACGTTGTGGTTCTCTTTTAGGCCATCCTACGGGACTTGCTAAGCATCCGTCATTTTTATATTACTCATGAGTAGCAGGATTTTAGTTGTATATCTGATAAGGCTTTCATCCCAATAGTTCACAAGTTACATAGCAGAGCCTAGTCCGGAAAAGCGACTGGCGCTTTTCCGGACTAGGCTCTGCTATGTAACTTGTGAACTATTGGGATGAAATCCTTATCATCCGCCTTTTTGTCCGTACTATACCATTGTTCCATTGACTGACGTTCAAGAAAGCAAACGGTTCTTCCTAGATGAGCGGCCTCCCGGCTTCGCCTGTAAGAAAATTGACACCCTGTTCAGTGGGTCAGTGGAAAATTCACCTGAAGCCAAGGTGGTTCATCCGAAGCAAACAAAGTCCTTCCTGAGGAGCTGGACACGAAAATGTACTACTTTGTGAGATTCGGCTTGGTACGCTAATACGGCCTGTCTGGATACGCAGACCTGGAATGCCTACGTAACTGCGCGAAATCACTATGTCAAATTGGTTCGTAAAGACAAACTCAAACACAAACGGGACTTAGCGAAGCAATTTAATAATAATAATCCTAAGTGCCGTATAGGCACGCCAACGAGCTCCGCAGAGTGCAGCGCAGAATCCCAATTCCACGTACAGTGGATAGTCTGGTGCTCCACACATAATGGCCGGCCAACACGTTTCGGCAACAGTTTATCCACACTTTCCAAAGTCAATCGTCACCTCACCCGTTCTTGACACAGCTTACTCCGCCTTTAGGATCAAGCCACGTATTCTTCACTACTGAAACTGTGATGAAACGACTAATACCGTTGCGTTTGTACAACTCTCTTGGTGTGGACAACATCAGACCGAAAGTATTGAAGATAGTTGCCATGAACCTTGTCGAACAGTTGGCCCCGTTCTTCCACCGAAGTAGTGAGGAAATGCAGGCTCCCACAGTGGGGAAAGATGCAATAAACGCTGCTATTTAAAAGAGTGAAAATCGTGTGGATCCCTCTAACTACATTCTTATCACTCTTCTCCCAGTGTTATTCAACCTTATGCAAGGTATACACGCGGAGGGGCACATGGAATACCTTGAGAGGAACTAAATCATAATGTCACAGCAGCATGGATTCTGACGAAAGTGATCTAGCACCACAACATTTCCTTTGCTCGAATAAATTGGACAAAGTCCGTTGATGCCAGATAAACAGTATACGTAGTATACCTAGGTTTATTTAAGGCACTCGATCGCCTGGACCGGATTCTTCTTCACAAATTTCGAAGCTACAAAATCAGTGACCCTGTGCTAGGTTGTGTAAGTAACTTTCTCGTACAGCGTCAGCTGAATGTGAGAGTCCGCAACTCCATTTCCGACCCAATTGAAGTCCAGTGTGGTTTGCTCCAAGAATAGCACTGGGACCACATATATGCTTAGTATTAAATGACAAGCCTGTTAGTGAGTTCCAGTTGGAGTTCCTAGTTCACAGACGATGTCAAGAGCTCACAAGACATCAAGACAGCGGACGACCACGCGGCACTGCAGTGAGACCCTGACAGGGCCTACACGTGCGTCACCCGAAAACAGCCTTCAGTTTAAGTTGGCGAAATGCCAAGTTCTGTGCGTACGACATCCATGTATTCATGAATGTCGACTGGAAGAGCAGCAGACGCAACATGCTACGCAGGAACGTGACTTCGGACTGACCGTGCAAGACGACTTTGGCTGCTCAATCAGGCAAAAAGGCATCGAGAGGAACCAGTCGGTACCTACGCCTCGTATGAAGGGCGTTTGGGAAGTTGAAGCCATCAATACCACCAAAATGCTGAACACCTTATTGAGACCCCGCGTAATGTACGCCATCCAGGTCTGACAACTTTGGCACAAACACGACGCTGCTGCGCTCAAAGCTCCACAATGTATGACGAGTAAAAGCGTTAGATGACTGTTTAACCTCCCACTACCAACGTAAACTGCAAGATCTAGGCTTGCACATCGTCGAATATAGACGCCTGCGAAGAGACATTGTCGTAGTGCAACACGACACGGACTAACCCCAATCAAACCTGAAAATATCCGTTGCAAATTAGCCAAAATATCGATAGGAGAGGCCACCAGCTTAAACCTGCCACACATCAAAGTTGACTTGATTGCCGAAAAACGTCTTCCCCATTCGGGTATTCAGACCGTGGAACGCTGTTCCTTTTTGCGTGGTTTTCGGCCCTAAATCAACGCTTTTTTAAGCCATTGGACTATGCTCTATCCCATAAACATTGCGCTACAGTTTATTTCCATCGGATGCAAAATTACAGCGCTGTACTCACTAACTCCGCTACGCAGCATTCAGGAGATTAGCATACGAAGGTAGAGCAATAAGTTTCCGGCCATGCAGTACACAGCTTAGGTGTAGATGACCTGGCTAGGAAAATGTGAACTATAATCCATTTTGAAAATTGTTCAGCGCTTTCAACTCACAGACTCGTACAGCAGCAGCCCAGCGCAGCTCACAAGTCAGAAGTTTCTCTGTAATCTGATTGTAAGTATGGAACTCAGTCAATGTCACTGGAGGGCGAGGATTTGCTATAAGTACAAACTGGTTTAATGCAGCACCACAGTGTTGAGCGAGTGCGCACCGCGTTTGGTGATGATGCGCCTTCAAGAATTACCGTGGTTGAGTGCTCTGCGAAACTCAGCGTAGCAGGCGGTCCCTGGATGATGAAGCAAGGTGTAGTCGATCTGTGGATATCACGACAGCATGGGCATTCTTGCTGTGCAAGCGATGTTGAAGGCGAATGAGCGGGTGACTGTAGTACAGCTGAGGAAAGCCATCGGGATAGCATAGAGATCAGTTCGTACCATACTGCATGAGAATCACGGCTTCAGGAAGGTGTGCGCACGCTAGGTACCCCATCAACTCAGTGAGGACCAGAAAGCAGCTAGGGTGGATTGGTGCCGCACCATGCTTGCCTGGTTTGATGGTGGACGTTACAATGCTGTATGGGAGGTCCTCAGTGGTGATGAGACCCGAGTGCACAGGTTTGATCCGGAGACCAAGCAACCATCGGCTCAGTGAACGGCTGTTAGTGGGACGCTTCAGGATTTCCGGCATGAACGCAGTGTGTCCAAGAAGACGGTAGCTGTGTTCGTTTCCAAGACCGGTCAGGTGACTACTGTGCCGCTCGTACGGCAACACCGCCACTGGAGACTGATATGCGACCCAGTGTCTGCCGCAAGTGCTGAGAGCTGTAGTAAGGAATCATCGAATGATTCGAATCCGAGGGAACTTGGCGCACCATCACTACGCACCTGCACACAGGTCGCATGTCGTCGCAGATATTTTGGCTAGAGAACGCATCCAGAAGTTGGTCACCCGCCAAACTGTCCAACACTTTCTTTGTGTGAATTTTTACCTTTCCAGCTGTCAAGCGCATAATGTGTGGAATATGCTACAAGACACTGGAAGCTGCTGCAGAGGCCTTCCTTGAGCATCTTGAAGTGTTACCAGGTTCAGCATGGTCTAGCTGCTTTTGCGAATGGTTTGAGCGTATGGAACTGTACAGGAAAGCTGGTGGAGAGTACTTCGATAAAATGTACTGCTTAATTTGTTGTAAAAATTAAATGTTTTATGCATCCAGAAACTAGTTGCTCGTATTTGTCCATGTGAAAACTCAGTGAGTCGCGTTATTCTAGAATTTTCCTATTTTCTGTCATTTCAGACCATTATTTTATAATCCCCACTCCGGTCATCCTATGGTAGATGTCAAGCAACAGCTTTTCTGTCCGTCATAAATCATTGTTCATTGTTCGGTCTAGCTGGATCATGTTTGCAATAGATTTGTAGTACATGATCGATTGCGTCGGAAGCCATGCTGTTTTAGTGCAATGGAAGTAAATTATTCCAAGTAGGTCGTTAGTGCGTCAGCTATCATTACTTCCATAACGTTTGAAAGTATAAGTAGTAGGATTATCGGACTGTAGTTGACTGGATTGGAACGACTACTACCCTTGTGAATAAGAAGAGTAAGCATCACGTGTTTCCACACTTTAGACATGTACATTTCGTCAAATCAGTTTTGGAAGCATCGAGCCAAGCGCTCGGCTAAGCTCTCTCCTATGATAGCAAATAATTTCAAATGGATGTTATCAACTCCAAAAGAGCTGTGCTTACGTATATTTAACAGCACTTTCAGTGCGTGCGATTTTTGGGCTTAGACAACCCTTGTCTTCGGTTAATGTGGTCACTGATCGCACGCGCAGGGTATTCGTCGCGTATCATACGGTATGTATCGTCAGCTTTGCTGAACAAGCTTGATGATGCTGGGAGAAAAGTGATGTCGCTTCAAAATTAAGTGGAATAAGCCTTAATCTTTCTTATCTGGGAAAATAATTCCGATTCAGATTAGAATCACTTTAATCATATTTCAGTAGTTCACAATAAATTTCTTTTTAACTGAATGCTGCTGGAAGATGAGCTTTTCTCCGTTGTTTGATGTAATCTTAATGAAACTAAATCAACCAGCCCAGCTATCAGTGTTTGGATGACAGGGTTTTGCATGGTTTCATTACTGTTTTGGTTGTCTGGCGTATGGTACCATTGTGACAGCAACCGAGAAGCACGGACAATGTCTCTGATTCCTAGTATGTTTCAACACTGGACACCGTGACCAGTCCACTTTCATCCAAGTATGTTGTTTGCTACCACCAGCTGCAGTAACGGTGTTCGGATGTCCATCTCGACTGGATGTGATTGCAATGAACCCACAAAAATCGTACGTAAAATTCAGTGTATTTCAAAGCGTGAACTAAAAGGCAACTTATGGTGCTATAAACAGTGAATTTCACAGCCATCAGTGGAACTTTGCGCGTGTGTCGCAAAGGATATTCTGCAGCGATGCGCAAATGCAAACATATGTGCAGTACCCGTCATGGTAGGCAGACTTCCAGCTTAAAGCATATTCTTCCTTTGATGGCAAAAATCGTATATCACATCGTACAACACACCGGCGTCATTGGCCACAACATACGCGAGTGACATCAAGCGCCGACGAACTTCTTCACACATGAGACTATTGTCCTCGAGTTTACCTTCCTTGGTTGCTGCTGTGAATTGGGACATTGATGAGACCAGTTGTCGTTTCGCAAGTAGGATCTAAATAGAAGAGACGAATGTGATACATGTCACAATAAGCGAGGAATGACGCACAGTTTAATACACAATCGCAGGGTTCGGTTAAAATACCGAGGACGAGGCAATGCATGTCTCACCGTCCATATACGTTCACATGTAGCTGTGGAGACAGCTACGTTGGGCGCACTAAGCGAATGCAAGGTATCAGATATGTTAATAGATCTCCAAGTGGTTGCGCAGCCGGATGGGAACTGTGACGACGGAATCGGCTAAATGGGGAAACAGAGTTGCCTCGGGAGTCACAAAACTGCTTACCACCGGGCACTGAGTTACTTCTAATGAGTCATTCACAGTCCTATTACGCGATCAGTGGCCACACATGCTTAGGTTAATGGAGGCCATCGTTTTCGATCGCAATCGACCGCCGCTGTGCATTCAAAACCAGCTGCCTGTGGTCTAAAGCCTAGCCTAGTGGCGCAAATGCTTTGTTATTTACTATCACTTTGACATCGTTGGCTGTTCATTTACATATCACAGTTGCATGTATTTGTGTTTGAGGGCAAAGCACGAAATCGCGACGTCATCACACAATCTACGTCTTCTGATTTTCCTGTTTGGAATTTTTAAGGGGAATATTTGTTTTCGATTTCAGTTGATGTGTGAGCTGAAGCTTAATGTCTTTCACGCTTAAAACACTGTACTAGTGAACTCGATGCCTTCCTGTCTCAGTAGGTTGTCTCAGCAGGCAACGAAATATTAGCAGCGTACAAGGCTTCCCCATCCAAGCTATGAAAAGCGAACGTGTATCAGTAGTAGGGGGCCGCTAACAAATTGGTAAGACGAATGCAAAGCTAAGAGCTAGTAAGTTCACCAGAAAGTATCTGTGATTGACATTCTGAATGGGATAAGTATGCGAACGTTATTCATCCCAGCCACCTAGACCAAAACATATCCTCATTCTCATCAAGAAACGTTAGCCGAGGACGAGAAATACAATTCAGCTAATGAGCCGCAATCAAAAAGGTAAAACATTAAGCAAAGTATACTTTAAAGCTATACATTGGCTACACAGTGCTAATATAAAATTTGTGATCACTGTTGGGGGAAGATAAGGGGAAGGGGAGCGACAAAGCGGCTCACAACACACCGCTACTGAAGTCGACTGTTCGCTATATTGGCTAATGAATCCATCCAAAGGTTTTCATCATCCCTCGGTCCCCAGTCAGGCAGTCGGGAAACACCAACCGACGCCAACTCAAAATAGATTTTAAATGCGAACTAACCAAAGGATAGTTCACATCTGTGATTGCAAACGACATCGAACATGGTGCAGTCGCGCAGCCATTAGCGTTCGGTAATCCGGTTTACCTCATCTATCTATCTATATTCTATCCCTGATTAATCTCATTCAATTCTCTCTCGAGTTTCAGTTCTTTGTAATCCAGTTGCGTTCTACCTCATTTACCTATCAATTTTAATAATTGTTATCCATACGACGTGTTCTAGTAACTAGATCCGCCACATATCAGTGCCCGGACCATAGTTGCCTATTTGGGCATTCATTTCGACCGCTTCTGCCCCATCGGGTGACCGCATTACGTACAGAAAGTAGCGTAGAACATGATTAAACCATATAAACTACTCCATTTGTTCAATCTGATTAGATGCGGACTCGTATACGGCCAATCGAAAGGGGTGTATTAGAAGGGCGGTATCGCACGTCAAGTCTTGGTACGAAATACTTTTGGTTTGATCACCGTGATGTACTAATACGTTAACAAACGTTATAAACCGATTCAGGTTCTTCAAGAATTCCAGGATCCAAATGTAAAAACAAGAGTGGTAGAAAATGCACTATTCGTTTTCAGTCCCGGAAGTGAACTACCCTCTGGTTGGTTCCGCGGCGCTGTACGCCACCGGGCGAGCCCCTAGGTTGCGGATCGGGAAACGCCTTCCTTGGGAAGATAATTGTGCATACGCCTTGGCTAATCGTAGGCAAGATGAATAGGCAGCCGCGGACAATCAGCGACAGCGTTCTAGAGCGTGGGAGGTTCTGGGATGGCCGCCTAGTGTTTAATTAAATACCATAAGAGCATGTAAGACACTGTGTCAAAGCCAATGTTATCGGCTTTAGAGTCACTGACTACTCAATGCAGCGATCAGCAGTGAACCTTCAACGGTGGGTTTATGAACTACCTCGGTGACCAGCGGCTGCTGTGAAAGTGTATGAGCCACCTGGTTGTCAACGGCCTTCGTGCTCTTCGGCGAGTAAGTCAGTCCAAGAAATTTCGCCTGGCCTTCATGCTGCTTCATTCGGGCTTCTTGGACAGCCTGAGCAGTTTGTTCTTGTGCGAAAGCCGTGTTATCACTGTGGTAACCGGTTCCAAACGGTATGTGCTATACGTCAATCGCACTGCTGCCACGCGGGTCAGGTCTTTGGACCAAAGGCTCGGGTGCGGCCCGCTAACTCAACCCACTTCCTCGGTCATGACAACCGGGAAGCTACATGCCCACACAACATATGGACCAATGTTTCAACGACTTTCTGTTCCCGTTCTGCCTGCTCTTTGCCAACGCTATCCGCAGCTCAGGTGCTGGCGGCTAGACGTGCTGTATCGCGCTCTACCGCACCACAGTTCGGTCACTTTATTCCATGTTTCTTCAACTAATCCTTGTTAATCCCGCTCCGTTGCCCAGTACACAACCTCGTGCCGCCTTGGGTGAGTGTTCTCGCTATACGGATCAAGAATTTAGGTCCCAGGGTGTGCTGCCAAGTAGTATTGGCAAACCTTTTTTAGTAGGCCTGTCGCAATTCAAGCTGGCAACCTATAACGTCCGGACGCTGATGCAGATTGGACCACAAGCAGCCCTTGATCGCACACTTGAGACTACTGCCACCGATACCTGCCGCCTCACGGAAACCCAATTGCAGGACCCTAGCACAACGCTACGACTGGTTTCGCCGTCTGCGAGTTCCACTGGCATGTTCACATTGCGCTTATCTGGAGACGCAATCGCCGAAGCCGCTAGTCCTACCGGCGTGGGGATTGCGTTGCGCACACGTGCTGAGACCGCGCTACTTGACTGGATCCTTGTCAAAGGTAGACTCTGCGCGATCCGACTTGAGACCTCAGTGCGACTTACTAGCAGTGGATCCAGCAGATGTTGCTTGTTCGAAGTAGCAGCATACGCTCCCATAGACTGCACGCCGGAGTCAGCTAAAGGCTAATTCTACTGTCAACTGTCCGACCTTCTTTGAGAAAGCGCCGTACAGACATCGTGGTGCTTGCAGGGGACTTAAACGCGCAGGTCGGTAGACTTTAGTTTGAAGAGTATGAACTCAGTGGTCAACCTGACCATGCCACTAGCAGAACAGATAACGGTGATCGTTTAGTTCAGCTTTGCGCTGATCACGGGCTCTTCCTGTTGAGTACTAGCTTTCGGCGATCCAAACGCCAATGCGTGACCTGCAAGCCTTCGTGTTCTGGCAAGCCATAGACGTAGCTTGACCAAAGCGCCATCAGTTATCGCTGGCGGGGCTGCACAAAGGATTGCAACTTAAGCTGGTGTACGAACCTCACTTAGGATCACGCACTCGTATGTGCCAAGATTACTTTACGTTTTGGTGGTTCTCAACAGCCGCCGGATACGGCTTGACGGGGCCAAACTTTCTGCCCCAGGCGTTCTCAGCGCTTTTCAGGATGCGTGGTCCACAAATCTGAAGAGTGTCTGATGCTCTGACATTGAAACGCACTGAGCCCACATCTGCAGCACCATGCACAGCTTTCCGACTGTGGTCTGTGGTTTCACCAGTAGTCCTGTCAATCACTGGATCTCTGCACTTTCCCTCCGGATCCCCGAAGCTCGCCGGGTAGTTCCAGCTGGCGTTGTGTATCACTCACTACGCAGATCCACAAACGCTGACATCAAACACCTCCTACAGGAGGATCGCCAAGCCTGGTGGACGCAACGTATCGTTGATATGGAGTGTGCGGTCTCTTCGAGGAATTTCCGAAAGGCAATTTGGATTATGCAGACGACATCGTCGTAATTTGCAATTCCTCACAGGCAGCCCAAAATGTATTGTGTAGACTGGCGATGTCTGCTTCCCAATTTGGAAGGATCTTCGCCCCTTTGAAGTGTAACGTCTCCGTACAGGACTTGGCCATGAGCTGCTCCAACCCTTACACTTTCAGGTCAATCTTCGGAAATGATAAGCAAGTTTGTTTACCTTAGAAGCGGCATCAGCGCTAACGGTTTAACGGATGATGTCTCCTTGCGCACCTCTAAGGCTTGAGTTGCGTTTGCTAATCTCCGCCACCTCTGGCGTCGCCGCGACCTGAGTCTATGCTTGAAGAACCGAGTCTACAATGCCACAATGAGAGCGGTCCTGCTCTAGGGTTGTGAGCCATGGTCTGTTCGTTTAAAAGGCGTGCAGAGGCTGTCTGTCTTTGATTACCGCTGCCTGCGGAGTATTGCTAGTGTACGGGGACAACACCACATTACTAATGAGGATGCTCAACGGAGGATTTGCAAATCCGACATAATTTTCCGGCTGCTGAGCTGTATAGTTTCACTGCATACACTTCGGTGGTTGGGGCACTTGCTTCGCATGCCTAATGGGCGTTTGTCTCACCGTATACAATGCGCGCACGGAAGTCGGCTGGAAGCGAAGGCAAGCTGGCTAGCGAATGACTTGGGCCAAAAGGTGATGGCATTTACCTCACATTTGGCCATGGTCGGGCGCTCTGGACTCCCTGGCAGGGGTCGCAAGGACCATGAACACGGTTGGCTGGAAAACCTATCGAACAAGTCAAGAAACCGTGAGCAATGGCAAACATGTTGTGAGAATGTGCCCCCACAACTCCAGTTTTACGGGGGTTTTTTACCGTCTCTGTCACCTTATTAATTGCGTATTAAATTTGTCTATAATTTGTGGCACTCTGTTAATATATGTAACTATCTGAGTATTCGCCCATGATTAAAGCAGACTGGTGCACACTATCAGAAGGTATTTTAAC